CCTAACGGGCATGTTCTTGTGTCCGACCCATCATCGTAGGGACTCTCCTCAATTCATGTCAACCAGCTATTTGCTGGATAAGCAGTGGGGATGCTAGGGCTCCCACACTGAGCCTTGCTGTGGCCCAGACCACCTGTGGTCACAGTTGGTCCTAGATGAAAGTAAAACAGGGGACACCCTTGGGAACTGCTACCTGCCAAGTTCTGAAGGACGGGCAGGTATCCTGAGGCAGCATGAAGTGTGTAGAAATGATGCTGCAACCGTGCTGGGTGTGTGCCCCTCTCCCCCCAGCCAATCCCCCCCCCCAACTCCCCAGCCAATTCCTTGTGCTGCCTAGATGGTTGGGCTCACCTTGGCGTCTGGCCTCAAGTCCAAGCCTTGCATCTGCACAGCAGGTACGCACCAGGTGCACAACAGGTACACAATAGACCCTCTTCAGGGCTGGAAACACTAACAGCTCCGCCAGAAAATGGGTAACTAGTGAGCTCCCTATGGATTTTCACATGAAAACACATTGACACTTCCTAAGCAGGCCTTTTAATCTGTCCCTTCTGAAGAATCCTTGTACCATTAAGCAGCTGCAGCATCCATTAGCACATCTGCAGGGGCAGAGGTTGTGCGGCAAATGCCCACCCCCTGTGCCTTCCCAAGGTTCCCAGCAGGGTGTTGGGGCCTCACCAGGTGGGACGTGTGATGGGCAGCCAGGTGAGGAGCTCACGGTGGGGCCTTGGGCACCTACCCTCTTGGGGCTATCACTGTGGGATGGGGATGGGTGGCTAGTCAGCACACCTCTGTGCGTGGGTGGGGCCATGGCTGAGCCTCTGTGTTTAAAGCCCTGTCTTTCTTCACTCCTGGAAGAGGCCATGGGACAGGCCCAGAAGGATGCAGAGCTGCCAGGAAACAGCATTCTCAGAAAAGGCGGGCCAGAGGCAGGGAGACCTGGTGTGGCCCCAGGCAGCAGGGTGGCTCAGGGAGGGACATGACCTGTCCTAAGCCTGGGCACTCCCTTCTGTCCCCCCATCAGTGATGGGGACAATAGGCACAGCCACCCCACAGGTTCAGTCAGGTGACACATCCCTGTGCTCTCTGAGGGAGCCCCATACGGCGATAGTAGAGGCCCACCTGATTCTGGAGGCCCCAGGTGCCTGCCAGGACTGTATAGGGGGATGGGGCCCCAGGTAGGCCCAAGGACCCATTAAATCCTTCCAGGATGAGGGTGGGGAATCATAATCAAGGCTGGGCGTGGCTCCTTGGATCTGCTCATTGCCATGGTCCACAGACACCCTGGAATCTGCCTCCCCCTGCTCAGGTGCTGCCCTGCACTTGCTGCAGCCCTCCACAGCCCTCCACACCCAGGAGCCTAGAGATCCTGACGTTACCCTTGGCAACATGCTGACGCAGATGCCAGCAGGTGGTGGGTTGGGGGAGGTGGTGGTGGTGGCTGTGGCTCATTTGCCAGGCATGGGGGTGGGGGGGCTCTGTCAGCCCGCTGTCAGAGGGAAGATGAGCCCTTGAGAGCCGAGCAGGGGAGAAGAGCCCTGGGAGCCATGTCCAGAGCCTGGCACTGGGCCCCCAGGTTCCCTTGGTTTCTGCAAAAATCAGCGTGCCCAGTTCTTGGCTGCCTTGCTTTTGCTGCGGCCCAGGGAGGACAGTTCAGGGCCCTTAAAAAGAAGGCATGGGTGGCAGTCCTGTCACATCCCCTATGGCGGCACTTGCCTTGGCCAGGCAGGAGGACAGGGGCACAGAAGAGGTGGGCCAGCAGTGGTGACGGGAGCTGCCTAAAGGCGCCGGCAGAGGCCGGCTCTGCTCTCTGCCTGGCCCGGCTCTCCCCTGGGCTCTCAGCCTACCACCGCGGCCAGCCGGCTGGAGGAATCACGGAGGGTATTGTCTTTCCTCAGCAGCCTGTTTGTTTTCCATCCTGAGATATTGCTGGTAGAGCATGAAAGGTCACAACTATTTGGAATCCAGTGAATTTCCAGACTTACTTGAGTTTTTCATGAGGAATTTCCTTTTCTGGGGAATAAGTACCTCCCCAGGCCTGCTGAGACCAGGGTGGCAGCAGTGGTGGGGTGCAGGCCTGGCTGCTAGCCCCTCCCTTCAGAAAATGCCCTGAGCAGCTCCAAAGCCTGGCAAATGCAAGCCTCCCAGAAACACCCCTCCCCCCAAACAAGGCCGGCAGCTGCCAACACCGCCCAGGGCTGCCTGCTGTGCCCTCACACGGACGGGGCTGGGAGTAGGCTAGAGATGCGAGGGCCTGCATGGGGCTGCCTGTCCAGCCCTTCATCCACCCAGCCCAACTGGGCAGCCATTCACTTGCACACGAGTGGGAACCCACCTGTAATGACAGGCTGCAATGGAGGGGTGTGCTGGCAATGGGGTCAAGGAAGGCCTATTAAGAGGGTAACACCTAAGATAAGACCTGAAGGACGAGGGCAGGCAGAGACAGGGTGGTCACACACGTAAGGGTGGAAACAGCAGAGCGTGTAAGTGAAACAAGCCCACGAAGGCCAGAGGAGAGAGGGGGAGGGGCAGCAAGGAGGTGGGGTTGGGCCAGGTGGAGCCAGTGGGGCCTCAGGCAGAAGGCCTGGGCTTGGGCCCATCTTTAAGGACACTTGGGCTGCCTCCTGGATGACAGCTTCAGAGAGCAGAGACAACAACCAAATCCGTCCATGACACATGTGACCAGCTCAGGGCCCAGGCATCCCAGCTCCCACGTCCTGCCACACCTGTGGGCACAGGCTTGGTCAACAAAGCCTGCCAACAGATGATCTGGGAGCCTGGCCCAGTGCTGGAGAGATTTGTCATGCTTGCTCTGGAGATGACAAATGAAGGCAGCCCCAAGATCCAAGCCCTGGGAAGACCCCAGAGCACAGGCTATCACCAGCCTCAGGACACAACAGACACAGGCAGAAGCCCGGAGAGCTGACCACGGGAGGACCGTGCCCTGGGGCCTCACCTGAGCACCTTGCTTTGCATCATGGCCTGGTCAGCCTCAAGCCCTCTGCTCACAGCAATGCCTCATCAAAGAGTCTAACCTCTCCCATCAGCTGGGACGATCCCTCTGCCCAGAACCACACACAGCACTTAAGTGGGTATAAGCAGAATAAGAGGAACTAGAACCCCTAGAGACCATACAGTACTGGGAGCAAGGCAGGCCCTGCTCTGTGGATGCAGTGTCCTCAACCCAGGCACCCTCACACCATCACTGCCTGGCATGACCCTGCAGAGACCCCTGGATGCACACAGGGGAGATGAGGGGAGCCCTGCTTCTGTCTCCATGACCACTTGCAGCTGTTTCTCTCCTCTTCTCAAGAGGCCAGGCTTCTTTGAAAACCTGATAAAAGCTGCAAACCTCCTCTTTATCCAGAAAAACGCTCAGGCACCTGGCATGATGGCCACAGCCCATAGCCATCCACCAACTTTATAGGGGCCACAGGGCCAGTTAAGACTCCCAGCTAAACCCAAAGAATAAAGTCACCACCTACCTTAAAAAAGACTAAGTGAAGGACTAAGCTCCTTCCTTGCCATTGCCCTGGTTTCTTAGACCCTGTAGGCTCACATCACCCCCCTAATCCCCACCATTTCTCAGCACGGTGGGTCTCCTTGATGACAGTTATCACCCTTTCCCCTGCCAGCCCACTGCCTCCCCGAGCTGCTGGCACCCATAGTCCCATACCACTTACAGCTACTTGTGGACCTCTATTTGCCCCCATGCCTCCCACCCTTAGGAGCAAAGGCCTCTTAAGGGCACATTCCAGATCTTTGCTCATTGTTCCTGCCTGGCACAAAACCTCCTCTGCAGGACAGCCCGGGTGGGATAGCTCTGGCCAATCCCATCCCGTCTGGCTGCTCAGCCTTCACCACCACCCTTGGGTGCCCAAGGAGGTTGTGATGCCTTGTGCACTGGGCCTTCTGCCTCAGTTAGCCTGCATAGGTTGTCTACCCTCTCCTTGCCAGAGGCCTGGATCCCTTCCTTGCCCAGGCTCCCCATTGAGCCCCCAGTGGCTCAGCACCAACCCTGGTTGTACCTTCCCACACTACATCCAGTCTCTGGGGCCTCCACTCCCCACAGGCCTTTAAGGCCCCTTCCCCACACAGTGGTTCTCAGCCTAGGCTGAGGGCCAGAAAGAATCCCCACACCCACCCAAATCCTGGGCATTAAATCTCAGAAATAGTTCTTAGCCCTGTCACCACCAGACTTGCAGGATCCAGATGAGGTGGTGGGGCCATGGCTGCAGTTCCCAGGACCCACACTGCCAGGGATTGGCAGTTCTGTGTATTTACTGAATCGCTGCATGGATCAACAACTGCATCCCTAGCTTGGGCCTTGTCCCCACCCTCATCCTGCAGATCTGTCACCCACCCTCCCAGCCCCCACACCTGGCTGCCCCCCAACCTCACCTGAAGTGAAGCCCCTCATAGGGCCGAGCTTCCCTTTCTTCCTCCCCAGTGACCTCCAGGTGTCGGAGGGCCCCTCCTCTGGGCTCCAAGCAACATACTCTTGAGCCGAGGAGCAGGCCCCACTCAGCAGAGGGATGGCCCTCCATGCCCGGAGTCTTTCAGGCATGGGGTGTGGGCTGCTCGTAGCACTGAGGCAGGGGCTACCTGGGCACCTAGGGTCTATGAGTACCTAGATGGTAGTACTGTCAGCAGCTGGGTGAGGGCATCCATACCCGGTGGAGCCCAAGGGTGTGGTGGTACTCAGAGGGTATTCAGAATCCTGAGGGCCTGTCAGGGCACTGAGGTTGGAGTGGGACCTGCCCATGCTGGGGCAGCCACTGAGAGAGCTGACAGCAGGTGCTACTCCATGGTCCTTTAGTGGCTGTGATACCCACCACACTGCACACTGTGCTCCCAGAGACAGTATCTCACTGGAGCCACCTTAGATCCCCTTCTGATTGCAGCCTCTCCTGCCCTGCCCTGCCCATACCCTGAAGCCCACCCCCTTCCCAGGAGCCAACGGTGTAGGAACAAGCAGAGGAAAAGCCTGGCACACTCACCGTCTGGTTGTCCTCATAGAGCTTCAGGTCGTAGCCACTAAGCTCCACACAGAAGATGATGGCTGTGACGCCCTCGAAACAGTGGATCCATTTTTTGCGCTCCGATCTCTGCCCGCCCACGTCCACCATCTTGAAAGTGAGCTCCTTGAAGGTGAACTTGTTCTCCACTATGCCCGTGGTCATGTCCCGGGAGCGCAGAATGTCCTCAACAGTGGGGATATAGTCGGGTGCGGCAATGCGCTCCAGGTCATTCAGGTAGTAGGCGGCGTTGTCCTCCAGGTGGTACTCACTGGAGCGGCCAAAGCAGGCCTGCGCCCCGGGGTCGGCCCACAGCCGCCGCATGACCCCCAGCAGCTCTGGTGTGATTTCACCCTTGCTCTCGGCAGGGCCTGTCAGCGCGAAGAGCTGGACTGCGTCATAGGCACGGTCTGGGTTATGGAAGTCAATCTTGAGTGCGGCCAGAGCACGGATGATGCGGGTCAGTGAGTCGATGGCGTTGTAGATGATGAGGGGCTTGTACTCCTTGCAGGCTTCCAGGTTGAAGCCACCACTGTGGATGATCTTCATCTGCTTCACAATGGTGCTTTTGCCTGAGTTGCTGGTGCCCAGCAGGAGCAGCTTGATCTCACGGCGCTGCCGCTGGCTCTCTGAGCGCAGGTGGCGGTCAATTCTCCGGGACCGCCGCGCCGCTTCTTTCTCCTCTGAGCTTTGCCGACATCCCATGGTCCGGCAGCGGCGGGCCCAGATGCAGAGCAGGGGACGGGGCACTTCTCCCTGTTGCCACCGAGCAGGGGACACTGAGAAGCAGGCCAGATATGCCTGGCAGGTGGAACCCCGCCGCCCTCAAAGCACTCAGTGTAGGTGGGGGGGCAAGGCTGTGCCACGCTGCAGCCCCTGCCCCAGCACCTCTTCTCCAGCTGGCATGGTGATCGTCTGTTGCGAGGAAGTAGCTGAGCCCTCCCTCTAGTGACACTCCACCTGCCCAGGCCACTGTGGGGCCTGATATGTCGTAGTCATTCCCTGTTCTCCGACGGTGGGAAGCTATACCGTAGAGTCTGCCGAGGCTGCTGCCGTCTGGTTGCTGGTTGCTGTGGTGATGCTGCTAAGTGTGGCTGGAAGGCCAGCCACTGGTGCCACGGGTGCTCCCTGCAGCCCCCCTGCCTTGGGCATCCGCCCTTTACCTGCCAACACAGAGAAGAGGGTGAGCCTCCTCCCACTGCAGACCAGGTAGGAAAGGGAGACCTCAGACATCGTCAGGAAGCAGCCTGGGGAACAGTGAATCAAACCCCCTCCCTTCCTCGGAACTCTGCTTAGTTGTGCCCAAACCACAGCAAAACAAATGTGCCTGGGAGCCATGCCCCACACCCTTCCTGGTAAGCCAGTTTGCCTGAAGCCTGGTGCTTCAGGAAAGGGTGCCCAGAGCCACACCAGGATTTTGGCCTTAGGGTTTTCAGAGTGAGGGAGTGAGTCCAGGGTCCTGCAGCCCCTCCCTGCCCACTGGACCCAGCCAACCTCCCCCTCCCAGAGCCTCAGTCTCTGGGTCTGGTGGTCATTAGGATTCAATACGGCAATCCTGCTGTGATGCTCCCCCCACCCCTACCCCACCGCCTCTTCACCCTTTCCTGTAGCTGCTGGGACTGTATCCACATGGGCCACAGCATCGATGGGGCTTGGCCTCTCCTTGGTTTATGGTGGGGTCCCATGCCAGAGTAACTGGATGACCCCCACTCACCAGCTCTCAGGAGCTAGGTCACTCTTGCTCTCTCCCAGGGCAGGACATTCACCAGGAGGCCTAGCAGCAAGCAGGCAGGCAGGGAACAGAGCAAGGTAGAGGCCCCAGGCTGGGAGCACCACGGGGTAAACAGCGGCCTGACTCCCTGTGGGGGAGGGGAAGGGAGGCTCAGGCTGGGTGGGCCCAGGTAGGGGAGCAGGGGCTGGGGGCTGGGGTGCAGGGCAGCAGCCAGCTGTGGGAAGCAGGACAGGCCAGAGTATGTCTGAAGGCATCGGGAATCGCTGAGTCCAGGGCAAGGCAAGGGGGCAGCCCACTGGCTTCCTGGTCCCAGGCCAAATCTTTCATGTCCCTGCTCCCACCCTGATGGTCAGTAAGGAATAGTTGTGCTCACCCCCTGGGCAGGGCCTCAGCACCTCAGGGCCCAGCTCTCAGTCATCCACCTGCTGAGCCAAGATGCCTGCATGCTCTTCCAGGGCCTCCCCCAATGACCTATGAGCAGCTGAGTCAGGGCCCTCCCCACCAGGGCAGTCCTGAAGCTCAGGCTCTGCCCCCACCTGGGAGCATGCCCCACACAACTCTTGACTCCTTCTTCCAACCTCTGTCCCAGCCTGGCTGCCCCCTGCAGCCTTCTCATTCTGCCATGGCCAGCATCCACCCCTCTAATGCCCCCATTCCACTCATGGTAGGTTCTGGACGGGAAGACACCCAAGGTGTCAGACAGACCCAGAGCGCCAAGGGCCTCATCTCGTTTCTCCACCCATCCAACCTCCCAGCTGGCCTCTGTGCCTGCTAGACCTGGCAATTCTGCTCTGAAGTGGCCCTGAGTGCCCAGTCTTTCCCTGGGGCCCACCTGCCTCTGCAGCCAGGGACCCTGTAAGCATGAGCCATCTCTCCCCGTCAGTCAAAACTTCATGTGCTCCCAGTGCTTCCAGAGTGTCATCCCAGATGTGTGGTCTGGGCACTTGACTCCACATTACTGGTGAGCCTATCCCTCACCAGTCACAAGCATCTGTTAAAAATAAAGTGTTCAGTGCAGAGCCTGGTCCCCAGCCAGGGGCAGCCAGTACCCCAGGGTCCTCATCACTTGTGGGTGCCTGTCCCCTGGGGTCCAGGAGCAGCACAGTACCCTACACACTATGGCCACTCAGTAAGTATTGATGGGAGAGAGGAACGGAAAGACTCAGACTTGAAGAGGCTGAGGAACTCTGCTGCTTTTCCACAGTCCCACCAGACCAAGGATGGGGGACATGCCGGGTGTGTACCACCGTGTGAGCAGGGGTCAGGGAAGAATTTGAGCAGCAGAGAGTTCCACGTTGTGGAACTACATGGGATTTTTTTTCTTCTTTGCATTTTACCAAATATCTTGTGTATTCTTGAATGAACTTTTGTTGTAAGAAGATTTTGTAAATAAGAGTCAGGGCTTTAACAAGGCCCTGTCTTTCATGCCACTTGGGACTTGCCTCTCTCCACTCTGGACTGTGAGTGTGTGGAGCAGGGACCCAGTGGCTGCTCCCTGGTCCCTGCTGATGACCCGGAAGCCCCTGGGGTGTAGAAAGGAGTCCAAAGTCCCTAGTAGTCAACACCCAGGGCACCACTCCTGCAGGAGTGCCAATGCCCTCCCTCCTGAAGGCAATGCCAACCAGGCTTGGGGTGCCTCATGTTGTCATTACCATTTTCCTCAATCTGTGCTTGAAAATCTAAGGTACACTCAGGCCCAAGTGACCAATTCTCTCTCATCTGGTCAGTGACAGAGACAAAGATCATCCAGAAGGGCAGATTCCTTCCACCGTTCACTGTCACCTAGACAAGCAGCAACCAGGCACCAGGTCTCCATGCCTCAGGGCACCCTGCAGTGACCCCACTCTTGGGACATAATCTAGCCCAGACAGGTGACACAACCAGTCCCCTGCCTCCATGCAGAGCTGCACCCAAACAGACCAAGACATTGGCCACTTCCTTGCAGTGCCACACATGATCACCCTGCCACTAGATCCTTCTGAAACCCAAATCCTTCACCTTGCAGCTTCGGCCTGGGGGCCCATCCAGGCCCAGCACAGGCTGTACTCTGGAGGGCTGGCTCAGTCACCTGGGGCTACTCATCAGTGGCCTCTCACCTCATTCCTGTACTGGAACTCCACCTGTTTTTCACAAGCCAGCTTGCGCACGGCTGCCACCCTGCCAGCAGGGCACCTTGTCCCTGCCTGTGGCCTGAGCCTCTCTACTGTGTCCTTTCTTTCTCTGGTCTCTCCTGCCAGGCTAGGGTTTTCTTAAAAAAATGGTGATGCCCTTACCAAACACCATGTACAAAAATTAACTTAAAACAGATCAAAAACTTAAATATAAGGACTAAAACTACAGAACTCTTAGAAGAAAGCACAAGTCAAGAGCTGCATGACCTTGATCTTAACAATGATCTCTTGGATATAACACCAAAGGCACAGGCAACAAAAGAAAAAAATAACAGGGGTGCCTGGGTGGCTCAGTTGGTTAAGTGTCTAACTTCGGCTCAGGTCATGATCTCACGGTTCATGGGTTTGAGCCCCACGTCGGGTTCTGTGCTGACAGTTTGGGGTCTGGAGCCTGCTTTGTATTTTGTGTCTCCCTCTCTCTCTCTCTCTGTCCCTCTCCCCCTAGTCTGTCTCTCTCTCTCAAAAATAATATGCATTAAAACTTTTTTTAAAAAATAGACAAACAGGACTCCACCAAAAATAAAAAATTTTGTGCATAAAAAGGTACTATCAACAGGTGAAAAGGCAACCTACAGGATGGAAGAAACTATGTGCAAAGCCTAGATCTGATAAAGGATTAATATCTAGAATATACAGAGCACTAAAACTTGGCCACAAAACAACCTGATTCGAAACTGGGTAAAGGACTTGAATGGACATTTCTCTGAAGAAAATAAATGAATGGCCAAGAAGCCATTCAAAAAAGCCATGAAAAAAAGCTTGGCATCACTGACCATTAGAGTAATGCAAATCAAAACCACCATAAGATATTACCTAATACCTATATAGATGACTACTATATCGAAGAAAAAACAAGAAAAGAATAAGCAGAAATTGGATCCCTAGTTTACTGTTGGTAGAAATATAAAATGGTGCAGCTGCTATGGAAAACAGTATAGCAGTTCCTCCTCAAAAAATTAAAAATAGAGGGGTGCCTGAGTGGCTCAGTCAGTTAAGCGTCTGACTCTTGATTTTGGCTTAGGTCATAATTTCATGGTTCATGAGTTGGAGCCCCATGTCATGCTCTGCACTGATGGTGTGGAGCCTGTTTGGGGTTCTCTCTCTCCCTCTTTCTCTCCCCGCCCCCACTTGCTCCCTCTCTCAAAATAAAGAAATAAACTTAAAAAAAAAGTAAAAATAGAAAAACCAGCAATTCCACTTCTGGGTGTATACCCCAAAGAATAGAAATCAGGGTCTTGAGGAGATTTTTGTACACCTGTGCTCATAACCACATTATTCACAATAGGTAAGAGGCAGAAGGAATCCAAGCATCCATTGGCAGATGAATGGATAAGTAAAATGTGATGCACACATACAAGGGAATACTATTCAGCCTTAAAAAGGAAGGACACATGCTTCAACATAGATGAACTTTGAGGACTTTATGGTCAGTGAAATAAGCCAGTCACAAAAGGACAAACACTGTATGAGATAGATGGTTGTACAACATAATGTATTTAATACCACTGGACTGTACACTTAAAAATGGCTAAAATAGTTAAGTTTTACATTATGTCTATTTTAACATCAAAACAACCCCACAAAACAAAACAAAAAAATAAGTCTTGTGAGCTACTCTAAAAATAAAAATAGTGAGAAGGCCAACTGGTGCAAGAGAAATAGGCAGGCTCCTGCCGGGTCCTGGCTTCACTCACCAGTGGAGGGCCACTTAGGGCCCACAACATCTCTCCTGTGGACTGGAACACCTGACCTACTGCCCCCCAGCTGGTACCAAGATTCATGTGGGGGTGAATCTCACGAACTCAGCCTTTAGTCTAAAGCTACCCTATCTGAGGAGGTGAGACTTGCATTTTGGAATGACCCCAAGGCTAAGGGCTGGGCTTCTGAGAATCAGGAGAGCAGTTTGGGGGCTGGCCATGTGGTCCTTGACCAGTGCGGCCACAAGGGAACATGGGAGTAAAGGGGAGAGAAACACAGCCAGGTGGTGACTGTGTGCATTGGGCCAAATCTGGGAGCTTCTGCCATCTGCATGGGGCAGCCCCCAAGAGTTATATCTGAGGGTCCCTCTATTAGAGGCACCCTCTTCCTTCAGATCACCAGAACCAAACAAGCAGAAGGCCTACTCGGAATTCTCCCTGAAGCTCTGCAGGGCTCAGACACATCCCAGGGTGTATGAGTGCTCAGTGCCTTGGAACTGGTGGCAGGGGACAGGGTTGTGCATGGACACAGGGAGGGAGGCCTGTGAATGGGAGCCTTGGCCAAGGTCCAAATGGGACCTCAGGACAGTCCCATTCTGAGGGTCGGCTTCTTTGCCTTCATGTGAGGTTCCTGCCAGTCCTGTCTCTTTCTTAGTCTAATTTGGGCTTTAGTGGGCTTCCTAGGACTCCCCGTGTCAGCCCAGAGACAAAGGACCAAGGGCAGGATGACCACATTGTTCCCTGGTTCAGTAACTGCTCACAGTTCCCCAGGGCCTGACACCCACGACTCCCCACCACAGCGCTGCTGGGTCTGGCTGGAAAATACTGAGTCAGGGTAAGGGGAAAAGTGCCAGGCAGAGGAAGGGCATGTGCAAAGGCCCTGTGGGTGAGGGGAGAGGCAAACCATGGTGTGACTGGGGAGGTGAAGGAAGGTCAGAGTGACAGGACAGAGAGAAGAGTCACAGGTGAGAGGAGGAGGCAGGGTTGATCAGAGGTGCCCATTGTGTAGGTGCATGCAGATTTGTGAGCATGTGGTTGAGTGTGTGCATTCGTCTGGGGTTGCACACATGCAGATGTGTGTGCGTGTCTGTTTGCAGGACTGTGTATGTGTGTAAGCACTAGTCTAGGTATGTGTTTATGTGCAGGTCTGTGTTTGTGTGTGGGAAAATGTAAGTGCATGCATAGGTCTGTGTGT